CCAAATACCTCTGGACAACTACGTTATGTTACAAAGTTTCTGCTTGAGGAATCCATAACGCTTCGTGAATATATAACTAACCAAACAATGAATTCATAAGGTGATTCTATAAACAAAAATCTACGTGGTCCCATTGCGGTTGATAACGGTCTCTCTGTCTAACGGTCTCTAACCTAACTTAGCTGTCTCTCTGTCTAGACTAAACTAAACTAAATTAAACTAAACCAAACTAAACTAACCTGCTGAACAGTCTTGGAGAGAAAAAAAAGTAGGAAGAAGAGGAGGAGACCCGAGGGACTTGATAACGGGTCAGGCCAGAAGAGGTTACAAGTAAGTTTCACTCGGACCCTTCCTTATACCATTAACCGGACACTTCAGGTCATCTAAGGTCAATGTGGAGCTGTGTGTTGGGGATATTCAGCCCCTAAAAGCAAGCATGAACTTAGCATGCTTCCCTGATGGGCTCTGTGAACGCTTCTGCGCTTCACCTTGCACAGAATGTAAGGGGGTACCCAATAAACTTGCCCGCTCGAGGGCAATCTTTGGATTTTTGTGGGGCTTCGGGTCATTTAAGGTCAGAAGTGGGGCTATCTTGGGCTTCAGGTCATTTAAGGTCAGTAAGTACTCGGTGGTAGGTAGTTCAGGTCATCTTAAGGTCAATGGAGGGCCTCTGTGGTGGGGATTCGGGTGGTTTGTCTAAGCTGGAGTAGTGAAATGCGGTCAACACAAGGTCATTCATCAGTATATATCAACACCATCAACACCCCCTAATGAGATGCAATTTAAAAACAGTTTAATGGAAAAAAATATATGTATATAAAACAACATAAATTAACATATTATTATATGCATCAAATGAATACAATATAAATCGATACAATAACGGACAAAATAATACTACTAGAGGCAACGTAAATTATTAGAGTCCAATATTATGAACCAAGAAAATACATTATGGACCAAGAGAATACAATATAAATCAATAGAGTGCATTAAACATCTACTGTATAGAATTCATCATACATCAATATAATACAATACACATCAATAGAATGACATAAACAGAATATGATATAAATCCATACAATACAATATATAAATCAAAAGAATGGAATACCTTATACAACACGATACGACGACACATTGTCCCGCCGCCTGGTGGTCGAAGTGTCAACAACAGCCAGAAACAAGAGTGTGTACAGTATTGTTAGGGTCGTTAAGCGGTGACACGTGAGGTGGATTTATCCTGTGTGTGATTAAGAAAATGTGAAACAGGAGTTCTGGTACTGAGACGCTGATATTTTACGAGTGTGTGTGTGTGTGTGCGTTAGTCCGTAGTATCGTTTCTCTTGCTTTAGTGTTTTATCAAATTCGTCAATCACCTTTAAGTATTGTTAAAATTGACTTGATTTCTGAAACCTGTTATTTGGCGTAGATACTAAAGACTTGGTAAACGAAGAAAATAAATCTTGATGTGAAACCAGAATACTATTGTGATCAACAGACCTTCCCGCCAATAGTGAAAAAAAAATCCCTGCTTAACGAGACACTTGTTATATCTTGTGAGGTAACAGCCTGAACTAAAGTGACGTGTGTTCTTCTCTGGTGGCAGCGGGGAGTAATCAGTGGTCTCAATTTTAATAAATCCCAATATAACCTAGCCATTCCGATTAGGGCTTTTTTATTTTGGGTCACAGTTGTTACGAGTTCCAAATATTTACGGTTGAATTAGGTTAGGTTGGGGAATATTAAGACTGAGTCCCGCTTGATGCAGCGACCGAGAGGCCACTGCTAGAGGTTGTTGCTAAGGTCGAGAAAACTGCCACTCACGAACCTGCAGTACATAATGTTGACTCAATGATGCCACTCGAGAGGGTGAGGTAGCACCACCTATTGCCGGCTCCGCCCACCTGAAAGAACCACAGGATTAAACCCGGTAAGACAGATTACCAAAATAGTTGTTGTACTTCAGGTAGAGATAAGATAAGAACGTTATCATATTTTCATTAACAGTCGTCCGTGTGTCTATATGAGCATTTTGCGGTTCAGGGATATAAAAATTATGATTAGTTATGGAATTATTTATGGTTAGTAATAATAATAATATAATTAACTAGACACCGCTTCAGCAATATTACACTGAGTATAGTACCTGCGACTTTACACTTTAACCCTCAAGAACATAGCGAAAAAGTAGGTGTTGTTATGGTGAATATATTGAACCAATGCCATCCGTGTTTCTTATATTTCTATCATGTTAGGTTCAGGGCGTGTTGTTAGGAATGAGACAAAGATAGATACATACACCACTAGTCACTTTGCACATTCATAAAAACATAAGAACATAAAAATGGAGGAAACTGCAGCGGGCCTATTGGGCAGTTCCATTACACCCAATCCCTATTGTTCATATATCCATCCAACCTATGTTTGAAGCTATCCAGCGTATTTGAGTTTATGATGATGTTTGGTAACTTGTTTCACTCGTCCACTACTCTATTTCCAAACCAATGTTTACCTATTTTGCGCCCAATTCTAAATTTGTCTAATTTAAAGCCATTATTACGAGTTCGCTTGTGGTTGGATAGTTTGAGTACCTTTGTAATGTCCCCTTTGTTTAGCCCTGACTTCCATTTATACACCTGTATCATATCGTCACTCACTCTACGTCTTTCGAAGGAGTGCAAATTAAGATGCTTTAACCTGTCCCTGTACTCAAAGATCCTAATGCCCGGGATTAGTTTTGTCATTCTCCTCTGAATTCTTTTTAGGGATTCTATATCCATTCTGTAATACGGTGACCAGAATTTAACTGCATAATCCAAGTGAGGTCTCACAAGTGCAAGATATAGTTTTAGGATGACCTCGCTATTCTTGTAACTAACACTCCTTTGTATGAACCCAAGTACTCTACTAGCCTTGTTTCGAGCAAAATACACATTATTTACTTGGCTTAAGATTCCTACTTATCATTACTCCTAAATCTTTCTCGCAGTCGGATTTCTCTATAACATCAATGTTCATCTGGTATCCGGTTACTCAACCAAAGAAACTCATTTATTCCTTACCAATGACCTGTTGTGACCAGGTCTAGGGTTATGTGAAGCCAACCGAGGTCACTTTCGTTTCAAAGGGCCAGTAGGGGCCAAAAGGCTCGCTGCAGTTCCTCCATTCTTATATTCTTATGTTTACTTCTAATTCACCTTGTTTTGTATCTAGCAGCTGGGGGAGGAGGTGAATGTCGGAGAACAGGCTGTAGGATTATAGGAGTGGCTAGATATCGGAGAACAGCCTGTATTAGTAGCTGGGTGTCGGAGAACAGCCTGTAGGAGTATAGGAGTGGCTAGATATCGGAGAACAACCTGTATTAGTAGCTGGGTGTCGGAGAACAGCCTGTAGGAGTATAGGAGTGGCTAGATATCGGAGAACAGCCTGTATTAGTAGCTGGGTGTCGGAGAACAGCCTGTAGGAGTATAGGAGTGGCTAGATTTCGGAGAACAGCTTGTATTAGTAGGTGGATGTCGGAGAACAGCCTGTAGGAGTATAGGAGTGGCTAAATATCGGAGAACAGCCAGTAGGAGTATAGGAGTTGCTAAATATAGGAGAACAGCCTGTAGGAGTAGCTGGAGAAGGAGGTGGATGTTGGGGAACAGCCTGTAGGAGCAGCGGATGGTGAGGGAGATAGTGTGGTGGTCGGCGGCCACAGCACCGATAGTCTACCGGGGTTATCTGGGGCCCTACCTCCTCCAGATGTCCGGACCCACATCCATCTGTGAGTCTTCCCTCACTCCACTGTCCTCTTCATTCCTTTCCCTCCATGCTGACCTCTCGTATAATTCGTTCAATAATTATATTTTTGACAAGTGAACTGGATCTGTGAATGACATAGTTACCAACCGTTATACTTGATTAGATATTGAACTCTTTAACGCAACCCAACCTCGATCTTACTCCATTCTAGAAACGTTACTAAGTGGCTATCTCTCCTAACTCAGTGTTCCTCTTTGTTCAAGTGATTAAACTGATTTTTGTCTAACTTTATCAGCTGAAGGCACCTTAGTTTAATATCACCTGCTTAACGCTCACTTGTTTAATGTCACCTGATTAACGCTCACTTGTTTAATGTCACCTGTTACGTACAACCTCGTCAAACATTACCCTGATCGTTAATAGACTTTGATTAAAAATAAATTTTACTCTATTAAAAAAGTATGGAAGCCCAGTCACTACCCTTGTCACATAATCCTTTCTCATTAAGATTAGACTAGAGGAGATTACACAGACCCAGTCTTGAATAAAATAGTCCCGAGTCTGTAAATCATCTCACTATTATTTTCCATCTAATAATCTGGATAAATATATAGTGCGCGTCAAAATTGATGATGATACCAGTGATGACTTAATGTGTCCTAGAATTGATTGTCACAATAATGTAAATCCTTTATTAACAACTCAAAGTAAATGATTATATTGTTCTCCATTGTTGTATTTGGAACATCATCCAAACTATTCCTTCATGATTTTGAATTTCCGTCATTTTCTTTGTACAGTCGTGAACAGAAGTCATGTCACCCCTTCTGCTGCTCCACGAACCCTGAGATTCAGACTCATGAATCCGAAGCATTTATGGGCAGAATAATGCGCCAGTGTCTACTGCTTCGGGTTCATGAGTCTGAATCTCTTGGTTCGCGGAACAGTACAAGGGGCGACAGGACTTATGTTCACGACTGTACCGCTACTTTTGGCGTCCATTATAATTTAAGGAACATGTTATCGAATGTTATTTTGTGTTGACCATTTTCCCCCTATCATAATGTAATCCTTCTCAAGACCAATTGGTGTAGTTATATTACTGTACAGCCCTGTTGTCTCATGAACCCAGAGGACTCGTTAACTTCCTGCACTTCATGTTTAAAACAATTCATTCATAGGACATACCAACACAAACCCTGACAGGCACATCAACAGCAGGTGTTCGTACATATAATAAAAGGCAGTAAAAAATTTAAATTTCCATGTATTGTTGAAAACGGTACAAGGTTGTGATTCCACAAGAAATTAAATGGTTTTGTACCTTAACACAAGGACTAGAAAGGGATGCATATAAAAATTTGTAAAAATATGCCAATTCCCCATAAATCATTATACTGAACACTGAAAGAGTGAATAATTGTACAAAACATTAGATCAAAAGAATATCTTTAGGGAATCCCAATTATCAATAAAAGGAAAAAGTATAAAAATGGTACAAATTCATTTTAACCCATGATATGTATGGAATGGCCGGTGTTCTGAGATCGACGAACAGATACTAAGCGGGCTAACTACACCTTGGTAACACACTAACATAACTCAGATTTACTTTACTTATGAATAATGACTTACTATTCATAATGTTTGACACCGTGTAACCCGTCACCAAAAAAGTTATCACCCACTCATATCAAGAGAGCAAAGTTATTACAGATGACATATATATATACAGGCTTAAAAAAATAGAAACCTGCATCTTGTTTTTCAATCATACTCAAGATCCAAGTTGAAAAGAAGAATTCTACGAAGATTCCGTTATATGAATTTATGGGAAAGATTTGTACAGTTTTGAAATAGAAAAAATACTTGAAACTTTTAAAATTCTTCTTTTCAGTCCGATGCACACAAGCCAAAAGATAGGCAATATTGCATTTGGATCATGCTTATTATCACAGTACTGTATTATGGTCACCAGTTCTTGGAAAGATATATTGATAAAACTGGTATACATACATCTTACAATTAATGGGATGTTCTCTTTTTATTGTGCAAACCCTTAATGGGATTTTGTACCCCTCACCGACCAAAGCAGGGTAAAGACTGGCCAAAACATCTGAGGAATGGTGATAAAAATGTAAACGATCACACAACTGATCAGATCAAACATAAATTACTGTATGTGAAAAAAAAAAGACAGTGGAAGAACAAAAAATCAACAAAATTTGTCCAGACGAGGTACACACCAGCGGATCCCTCAACACCTTGACCTTATTTACAAGTTGATAAATTATCCTTTGGCATTCATAGGCAAATACCTTGCCGGTGCAAACCAGGCCTAGACAAAAATGAAAAAAAAAATCCTGTACACAACAAAAAATACTTATATTGCACACACACTTTAGGAAATAGTGAATTTGTATAATACAAAACCTATACATCAGGCAGTCATCATAACCCGAGCCTTTTGAGTCCCGGACGAGGTAGTGTGGTGCGGCTCTTGGACTGCTTGTTCTCTGCTGCCCACGACTTAGACTTGCCTCTGAAGTGTTTCAGATCCTCAGCATGGTTTGAGTCCAGCATTTTCACATAGTCTTTGGGTGTGCACAATTCAGGGTATTTTTCAAAGAATGCCTTATAGCCTCCCTCCAGAAGGTACATCTCAGGGAAGTGGAGGGCAGGATAGTGTTCCTTATTTGCTGTGCGATCCATCTCTCGCAGCAGCCTCTGAGCTTTAGGTCCACGTTCAGCAGAAAATTCACAGTGAAAAATCAAAATTTGCCTGGGTGCTTCTTCATTTACTATAACAGGAGCTCCCTTCTGTGCATTCAAATTTTCCTCAACCATTTTTGGATGATGCCACATCTCTGCACCAGTGATGTGCCCACCCTCAAACTCGTATGGATATCTGCAATCTATAATTCTGCAGGAAGCAACTTTACTGTTGAACTTTCCTCTGACAACTTCAGCCAAAGTTTCAACACTGATGGCTTTAAGGTCTGGATGTTTACCACCTTCAACAACAGGAAGTAGCACAGGCTTAGAGAAGTCCCCTATAAGATCCCCATCATGGCCAGCTGTAAAATAAAATATAAAAAATCATAATGATACCAAAGAATTGGAGGAAAAACTCCTAAAACAAGAAACATTAATTAATACATATCCATTGGGAGTATGTAAAATAAAATAAATGTATGGGTATAAATATAATTAGGAGGATACCAATATTTTCAGATAACAGTACAAGTTAGCTTATGAAAACAAGCAAATCGAGTACCAGTACTTACAGGATTTATTTAATGCCTTCATAATAGAAACATGACTTTCAGAAAGGCAGCGCTGAAGCTTTGGCTTGACAGCTTGAGAAGTGCTCGGTTCTGGTGCAGATACTTGTCTGTGTGTGAGAGGAGTACGAATTTTTTCACCGGTTGTGGTGGAGGCGTTGGAGGTAAGGGGAGACAACTGATCACAGGATTCATCTGGTTTTCTTCGCTTGCAATCTGAGAAGTTGGAGAGATCTGTTGGAGGCTGTGGCCGCTTGAATGAGACAGTACTGGGCCGGCTGTTCTCCAATGAGGGAGGTTTGAAGATACTCTCTACCTGGAAAACAAAAATGTAAAGCATTAAAAGCTAGAAAATAAATACAGTAGTGTACTGAATATTAAAAACACATTTTAGTTTAATCTCTAGCCAAGGCTGATATAGTGAACATTCTGCACAAAAAGCACCATTTAGCTTGAGAATAAATAAATAAATATATAAATATATATATATATATATATATACTGTGTATGAAAATAACTTACTCTGGAGGATGTAGGTGTGGTGTCTACCATTGAAAGACACCGTCTGATGGATGGGCGACCATCTAAAATAGACCGGGATGATGTGTTGGCACTTGGGGGCTGGATAGGTGCTAATAAAAGGTTAGAGAAACCTAAAGGCTGCTGTTCTTCTTGTGTGGTCATCTCATTCATAAGATCCATAAGCATAGTATCTTCTTCATCACCTTTAGATAGTGATGAGAACTTTCTGAAGGGTCTACGGCCCTCTGCTCCACTGGATGAGGATGCTGGTGTAGAGGTGACAGCCGAAAATATTGTGGGAACTGGAGTAATTGATGAGACAACAGTGGAGACAGACTTCACCGGAGAGATCATACGAGGTTTGGGTGGCGACAGGTCCAGGTTAAGCTTCCGTGGTGCACAGCTTACTGGCACACTGAAACTAAACAAAATTCTGGTGTGGATAAATAAAATAATTCCTATGGTATTGCAAAATATGGATAGGTACAGTGACTACTTTCTCTAAATCAATTGATAAAAACTGGCGATATGTGAGCTTATCCAGCTAGTGTGTGGTGTTAATTTTTATTATTGTTTCAACATGTTAAAATGAGACTTTAGAAGGGAAGTGATAGAGAAATAGAATAGTGGTGCACCATACTAGGAGCCACACCTCTAAACTGAGATTCTTCATTATTTATCCAAAACAATTTCACAACAGGCATAAATGATCACTGATAGGTAGAAGCACCACCAAGAAACTCGCCAACCTTAAATATATCACACGAAACTCACCAATCCCCCTCCATCTTCTTTCCACTCTCAGAGTATCCACTGTCATGCGAGTTTGAGTCAAAATCATCTGGTGGGGACGGCTTGGGTGGAGAAGTAAACACTCTCTTAGAGGGAGATACCAACTGCAAATTCTGTCCAAGAAAGAATAAAACCAGAGTCAGTAACAATTGAAAAAAAAATCTGGTTTTGCATGAATACCGCCAAAATGAGCTTGATTTATAAATATACATATGAAAATAATTACACTAAACAAACCTTTTTAAGAGGACTGAAGCTTAGGTTTCTATTGACAGTATTTTGTACATCTTGGAGTGGGCTGGCACGGGAGCGGGGAAGAATAACAGCACTGCGGGAAGGGGAGTAGTATGGGGAGGGAAAGTTCTCCTTATCACGGGAGGTGAGTCGATGTGACGGGGAGACAGGAGGTTCCTCACAGCTAGACGTAGAGTCAGGGCTATGGCTGTCTTGTAACAAACCTGTGAAAGGAACACAAAAATACAATAACTAAAAATACATAAAAGGTCATTTTGGGTTTCCACTTGGGTACCTTCATACAACGTGAAACACTCATTTAATTGCCCCCAGTTTCTTAACACACTGAATGCAGAACTATGCTGTCCTTCCCTCAAAATGGGCTCATTATGTCTTTTAATATATTCCAAGTAAATTAATCTTCATGCAGATATTCTTAATCATAAACAGTCTACCAAGCTTAAATTTTGACCCTAACGACATAACACACAGAGCCACTTAACATTTATAATGGACCTCTTAATAAGATATACAGTATAATATATAAAACTCGTATAGCTAACTAAACTGAATAAAACCTTACCCTATATACCTTTAAGTATAATAAAACATAATTGCTACAAAAAATATTAGGATACTATACCTGTTAGCACAGCAAACACTCAGCCGGCAAAACAAGTGACCTCCTCCTACAACTAATTTTTGTTTTGTAGTCAACAATAAACCCCTTGGCATTTGTCCCTTGAAACAAGATGAACTTCCAACACTATAAACGAAATAACATTGCCTTATAAAGTTGACAGCCATTTTCAGTATGCGATCTTATCTCCAAATTTTAATAGTATACATGCCTAAATCCCACATGTTATTTGTTAACCGTATACAACAAATATACAGTGTACAGCAACTTACTTGAGCAAAGTAAAGATGAGGCATCATGACAGGACTGTGGCGTGTCTGATAGGGTGGAGGACAAGGAGAGTTTTCTCTTAGGAGTCTGGGCGAGGGAGGCACCATGGAGAGTGAGGGCCAAATTGGACATAGGAGACAGGTCGCTAGACATCTGTGGACACTCCGACTGGCCTCCCCTCAGCACACTCCTGTATAACACATCACGGCTACTCATGATTTCTTCCTCTTCAATTTGCTGAAAAGGAGAGCGTCGTGTTAACAGGCAGGTGTTACAGTATTAATATAAAGCCCTGGGGCGTCTTGGTATCACACAAGAAAAAACTAGTAACTAAAACGTATATTAACACTTGAATTTCAGTAACGTATTGTATCCACATGTAAATACAAGTGATCGGGAAAGTGCTGGAACTACCAGAACAAGATATGTTTATTTGTACAATATTAAAAAATGATACAACTATAAAATTAAAACAAAACGGATGATATTCGCACAAATTAAAACTGCAGGAATAAGATATTGTACCGAGCAAAAACTACGATCCAATACATCACGAGCTCTCCGCGCATAATATAAGAGGCAGGCACAAGTCTTCTTACTTACGCTTAAAACTTGCGTTTAAAAAATACAACACAAAAAACTTATTGGTGTAAACATATTGCAACGTTCTTTTTAATTTTCAATTTTAAAAGTAAAGTTGGTAACAGGTTCATTACAACACTGACTGTACATTAATAATGTAATGTTCGAGAGTTTAACATAAACAAGATATATTTAAATAGAGGTTGGATAAACTTAAAACACTCGATATTTCAGGGATATATAAACTTTTGCTGCTATATAATGTATTAAAATACAGCACTGGGCTTCCACTTCATATCACTTTAGATAAATTATGTTCCCGGCAGACCTCATACAAGAACACTTAAGATTTTCTGCAGTTCAAGACCACAACTTGAGGTAAACATACCAAGATATTATTTACCTTTTCTTAAAAATTTCTAATTGAGGCTTCACTTGATTTCCTTTTTTCAAGCACTGGCACTTTAATGTAACTTGGTTCAACACTTTCACTATCTCTCCATGATGGTAAATCCTTTTTAGATGTTGTCGGGAGGAGGATGAAGATGGAACTAACTAAGCGCACATCCTCCCGACAAGCTTGTTAACAGTCGACTCCACAGACAGACGCCAGTTCACATCTGCCGCGCTCCCCACACTCCAGCGTTTTGGGTGCGAGATAAACAACCAATATATTCCATTTGCAGCGTAAAATGGTTACTCAATAGCTTTCAAAGTTGATAAATTAACATAAAAATAAATTTTAAATTATGTATACAATATATTTTAAAAGTTACGTTGTGTTTTATGGTGAAAACTTTAGAAACCATTTTACACCGAGCATGGAGGTTGGTGTCGTCTGCCAACTTCAGTGCGTTATAGCATATGAGCCCGGAGTTTTTATGTTTCCAAATAAACGCTTTTTAAACTGGTTACAAAATAAGTACTAATTGAAAAACTTACAACAATTCCTAAGTCAAATTTGTTTTCGCCAACAATGATTGACTTTAAACGCAGTATATCTTCCAGAGGGCAGCAGAAGGTCTCACTAGTACACAAATATACCTTGGAGTGCATCTAAGCGAGCGCGGTCCCGATGTAAATATAGGGAGGCAGAGGAGCCTCACTGCGACTTGCCCTCAGCTGATTGGACAGCTCCAGCTGGGATGACTGTGGAGAGGGTGGGGGAAGGGGTGGATTAAGGGGCGTTGGCATGCTAATCCAATATGTTATGTTTTCCAAAATGTAAGTTAGGTAACGTCATCGAAGACTCAGCATCATGCATTACCTTATTTACAAACTACAATTTGCCTCATTCTTTAGGATAAGGGTCCATGCAATAAAATAAATTATATATTGTTTTATGAATTAAATAACTCATCTTAAAGTCAGGGAGGTGACTGATTAACCCAGAACCTGACATACCCTACCCACCTCACCCTCTTTACTGACAGGTCACTTCATCGTCCGACCTGGCATAATGTGGTTGTCTTTATAAAATTTAGCAATATTATTTTATATTCTTGGTACTTATTAACCTCAGTGACACCCAAGTGCAACTGAACTTAGTGACCTTCATCATAGCGACTGCTGTATCGTGCACCTTTGTTTAAAGCCTGTACAGCAACCTAACCTAACCTTAGTAAGATAGATTCATTTGGTTTGGGTTTGTTCGTTTTTGTTAGTTCAAGACTTTCGAAGTTAAAAAATAGCATGATTCAAGGCACCATCTACATCAACCTCTCAGACAAAACCTTTATTCTTACAAACATATTCACGTAATAATTTATAAACAAAATCTTACAAACTGATACCTTAGTTCTTCGCATTTATCGTATTATAATTATGATGATGAGTGAGAATTAGACGATGAATATCAATCTTTCCTACCAGTCGTAAATATCCTGGCTAGGGTGACTGACTTTATTATTATTATTATTATTATTATTATTATTATTATTATTATTATTATTGTATCGCCCTCCCTCCCTCCCCATGGTCTGCTTTCCTTCGGCTCGACTTTTAACTATAAATTCCAATAGTCTGAGTTACTAACCAACCCTCCGGTAAGATGGCTGGGAGGCAAGAAGACTGGGGAGAGAGACAAGCACAACACAATAACCACGGGATATTATCGCACTCACTGACGAAGATAAGGAACCTCTTACTGCCCAGTTAGATAAAAGCCAACCAGGTGGCATCTCACATGACGCAACCTATTGCCAATGAGCTTCAGTTAGGGGAAGTTAGGTAGACAACGGTTATACTTGGCTGGTTTAGGATACGTAAGGAAGGGTTAAAATCGATTGTGTAATACATAACGAACATCTATCGATCTGTCGTGAAACTGTTTTCGTATTGGTTGAACAGCGGTTTTGTATGTTTAGTTTCAATGGTCTGCAAGATGTGTACAACTTTGCAATTGCCAATTTTATGGTAGTATTTCATGATGACTGTGTACACCTTATAGATGGGTGAGACTACTGTACACCCGTATACAAAACTATGCCTAAATATCCCTCCTACCCTCCATAGCTGACCTCTGGCTATAAGACCTAAGTCACTTTTACCTAGCCATCAGTGTACAGTATGTCTCTCAGACCTAGCCAATGTACCCGGGGAGAACTGACGAGGCAGCTGGTCACGCTGAAGGCCAGGTAAAACCTTAGGAATGGCCACACCATCACTGACGCTATGCAAGATAAGTGTTGATGTTCATAAGGAAGCCACCATTTAGAACAATATTTGTATTATATAAAATATTAAAACAGTGATTAGACACGTCGCCATTTTTGTTTTTCAACTTAAGGCAACGAGTAGTCAAATTTGTTTTGTCATATGAAGATAGGTAACTGACTATAGCATATATTTGCGCAACAAGACTTACTCTTTGTGCAACATTGGTGGTGGGGGTCGTGGTAATGCTCTCCTGTGACAGCCGCCGAGACCTCCCCGGACTCCACAAAACGCCTACCATCAAAAGTTTTCAGATTGTCTGCTGGTTCTTGAAGAAACTTCACACTTGTTTACCACACTCGTGTTTTGATACACACATACAATAAAATATAGGTTAAAATAATTTAAAAGAACTTGGAGTGTAGCGATCATTCAGCAAGTAAAAAAAAATCACTTAACGTGTTGGCCAGAGGTCCTACCCGACCCCCCTTTAACCAGCTCCATAGTTCCTACTGGCTAAATAAAGCAACTCAAAACAGTGTGTTCTAAACAGGAAGTGAATGTGGTCGAGTACAACAAGGGGCGAGCTTACTAGTGAAGCTGACAAGTAGTGTGGCCGTCAGTCACTAGATGGTGGTAATGTTATGTACTATTTACTTGATATTTTTAGTAAGTTATTAAATCACAGTTCTGTTATGCATTGTTTTGCTTGGATCTGCTTATGAAGTTATTATAATTAATAGTTATGTAATGTACTGTTTGCTGGGTCTGGAGAGTAAGTTTCTGGTGAGTGCGATTTCTTATGCGCTGAACAGAATACTGTATATATTACCAATCTTCATGCTCGGCTGTCGCAATGCCATTTTCATAGACGATCGGGAAATTAAACAAAAATAAGTAGCGTCATCTTTTAGCAAACAGACAAAACTGATCAGTCACCGGGAGGGGGACAGTTTCAGCTCTTCATCACACTCACTTTCTGTCTTAGTAACTTTCATGTTTACATAAACATTGAAAGGTGCCCCATCTATGTCTTCACCACACTGAGACTGAAGCAGTAGAGTTCTGTCTCATAATTTTATTAGTAGACTTGTCACGCACTTAAAGACTTCAGTTGTTGGAGGACAGTGATAATAATTATAAAGTCAGCGTTTACGAGTGGTAATGAGTGAGTCAGCAGCTTCTCTCGTTTATGTGTTGTGAACTGTTTTCATCTTTTCTTGTGTTGATAAAGTTATCTTTAATGTTGAAACAGTTGACTCAGAAGTTACATACATAAACTGTGTACGTTTGCTAACAGAAACGTAGTGTACTTGCAAATGTTTCTTGGCCGTATGAATTTTGTGTTTGTGTTACATAATCACAGCTCGTCTGGTCCCTTGTCTACCGTAAACAAACATTTGGGATGGGTTGCGCGGGGTAGACCCAACGCAACCCATGACAATCTTCACAGGTAAACATTTACGACCCGCTAATACAGCTGTCCTTATCAGCAGCATTTCCAGATAGGACAAAGAATGGAAGCAAAAGATACAGTGAAACATAAGTAAACAGAACATACACAAATTTTGGAGAAACGAAACTAATAAAAAAACGGAAAATGAAATGAATGTAGAAGAAGAGTGGTGAGAGGATCAGAGATATAACAATAAACACAGGCGTAAAATAATCTGGGGGGGGGGGCTAATTTTCAGGTGATCCCCAGACGAGAAGAATAACAGAAAAAATAACTCATAGCTTAAGGTGTGAGGTCTGACCCTTTGGCCGTGAGGAAACTGGGGATAATCCGGACAGACGCCTCTTAATCTCAGCACCTTAACGGGACTTATTTATTTATATCCGGCGAGGTTGGCAAGGCACAAAGGTCCAGATTAATTAGTAGTATTCCCCTAGCCGTCTCCCAGGACCTAGGAACTGGATAGGGAGTGACCGGGGAAGGGGCAGGTAGGGAAGAGTGTGAAGGAGGTATGAGAGGCTGGGGAGAGAAGTAAATGGGTGGGGAAGTCAGGGGTGTTAAAGAAGAGGTTGGGGGGGGGGGTAAGATAAGAACAGACGAAGTGGGGTAGAATGGGGGTGGATGGGTGTCAGAGGAGGGAGAAGGAAGTAGGGAGAGGCAGTGGTGGTCGCTGTAGGACTTGAGGTATAGGCAGGTACAATCAAAGACAAAAGTCGTGTCGCATTTTTTTCCGAAGATTAAACATAACTCATGAAACATTATGAGAGCCCTACCACAAGGCAGAGCGGACCAAAAGTTTAGTCCTTCGGCACATGTTTTCACCAAATTTCACGACATGACTTTTGTCTTTCAATGTACTTAATTGGAGGGATTTATAATTGTACCTGTGTATTATATAGTGAAGGGGGGGGCGGGGTTACACGGGGCTGTTGGGTACATAAGAACATAAGAAAATAAGGAGTCTGCAATAGGCTGGTTGGCCTGTGCATGGCAGCTCCTGTCGAGAGTTACTACCACTCTATCATCCATGAATCTATCTAGCCTCCTTTTAAGACTTTCCAGAGTTCCCGCACTTACTACAAAGTTGCTAAGCTTGTTCCACTCGTCCACCATCCTATTTGTGAACCAGTTCCTTCCTATCTCCCTCCTAAACCTAAACTTATCCGACTTAAATCCGTTGCTCCGAGTCCTATCCTGCTCGGATATTATAAGAACTTTATCAATATCCCCTTTATTGATTCCTTTCACCCACTTAAATACTTCTATCATATCTCCCCGCACTCTTCGTCTTTCTAGGGAATGCAAGTTAAGTTTCTTTAACCTATCCTAATATGGAAGGTTTCTAAGTCCCGGAATCGTTTTCGTCATTCTTCACTGCACCGACTCTAGTGAATTGATATCCATTCAATAATAAGGGCACCAGAACTGAACCGCATAATCGAGGTGCGGCCTAACTAGCGCAAGATATAGTTGCAATAAGACCTCTGCACTCTTAT